AAAGAATACATTGTATATGATTAGGTGGTTTTCACATTTTAGAGGCCTACAACTATTGCACATGCAACACAAAGCGATGTCATATATCCCTGACTACGTTATCTGTGGTCATAGTTGGCGTGATCATTACTATAATTTTAGGTTAGTAACAAAGATAGTAACAAAGATAGTAACAAAGAGAAGAGAAAGAACCTATTGTACGTAACCAAGTAGGCCTCTCAAGTCTGAACTAGGTCAACATAAGCGTGTTGATGAGCGGTGTTCGCTGTGTCCCACAATTCAGGGGAGAATGGATTTGGGGTCTCATTACCTCACTCACTGGGTAAAAATCATTGAAAAACTTACTTAACAGCGGTTTTCTTTGATATCATTGGTTAAAAGTATTTTTCTTTCTTTAAGGTATTTCTATCTCTTTTTGTCCTTAACTCTATCCTGTAAATTAATGGCTTTTATGACAATCAAACGAATGGCACCGCAGCGCAAAACAAAAGAACGAACAAAATTAGATTTTGATTTATTTGACATTGACATGCGGCAGCGTGTCCAGCCAAGTTCAAAGAAAAAGGAACTGGCGACGCAGCAGCCGTGTGTAATATTAAACGAATCATTTCGAGCTACTTCTGACCCCCTCACAACTCAAAAACTATGTAACCTACATATATGAAATTTCTCTTAGCTTGTCTAGAATTCAAAATTTCATAAATTTGGAACACAGAACTTGGCATGAACACACAACTTGAACTCATTTCTTTATATTTCATAATATTTGATTGGATTTGATAATATTTTAAACAGTAATGTTTGGTTTTTTTCAATTTTATTATTTTAATGAATTCTGACTGTTTTGTACATGTATAAAGTCATGTGTATTGTGCTTGTAATATACATAACACATGGCTAGTTGCTGTTGATCCTGTATTGTCTTGTGCACTTTAACTTTATTCTGTTACTAGCTTTTGTCCGCGGCTCCGCCCGCGTAAATGTTATCGCGGTAAAAAGTAGCTTATGTCTTTCCTCAATAATCAAAGTATTTTCGTCTAAATCGGTGTAGCGGTTATTGATTCCCCATTACAAACTTCCACCCCTCTTTTCAGCCCTTTAAATGATAATTTCTGGAATAACGGGACGATGTCTATCTACATGCTAAATTTCATCTAAATCAGTTTAGCGGTTTAGGCGTGAAGAGGTAATAGACAGACAAACAGACACACTTTCGCATTAATAATATTAGTACTAGTATGGATATTTAAGTAAGGATTTGACAGAGGTTATTTGTTTTCTTTTTTATATATTGCCATGAGGAAATCATGATGCAATAAATAAATAAATAAAAATATATTCGTCCATGGAAGAACAGTCCGTTATGTAAGATTACTGCCGTAATCAGTCAGTTTAAGACCTCTCTTTAATGGTTGCCTGCTAAATTGTGTGGTTTAGAATTACAATGGCCTAAATAGCTCACGTCGTCAACGGGTCGTTACGATAATAGGGAGACCATTTAATTCAGACACCGACAAATCATTAAAAATTTACCTAAAATACACATTGCTTACTTGCTTCAGCCTATTGCCGTCCACTGCTGAACGAAGGCCTCCCACAAAGAGCGTCAATCATCAATCATCAAGAAAAGAAAAGAAATTGAGAATAAAAATAACTTTGTTCAATAATTTTTCTTTTTGGATTATTGGTTTTGCAAGAGATTTAATTTTATTGCTTTTAATTTCTAATGTTTCCGTTATACGCTATACCTTAATTTTTTATAAACATAATCTTAAACACATTAATCATCGGTCTTTTATTCTAGATTGAAATTACAGTACAGCTTCTAAAACACAGACAAATAATAATAATAATATTCTACCACATTCACATAACGCCATCTAGGCCCAAACTAAGCAAAGCTTGTACTATGGGTACTAGATAACTGACATAAATACATATATACTTTTTTTTTTGTAAATACATACTTACATATTATACATAGAAACACCCAGACCAAATCAAACAATAAATATTCATGCACACAATGACCTTTGGAATAGCAGTCGCAATTCGGATACAATTGTGCATACAAATATTTATACTCTAACAGTACTTTCTTATGGGACCAACCTAACCCTCAGTCACTACAATAACTTCTAGAACACCAGGATCAACAACACTGACCCACGAACACACTAATTTATGACACTCGGTAAGTATCAGGAAAAATTAAATTGTCTTGGAAACCGCAACAAAATTTATCACAACTAAATTGGAGAAGTTGGAAATATAGTAACTCCAGTTTGCTCTTTAGTTAAGCAGGAGACGAAAAATGAAGTAAAAATAGGCACCCATCCTATGAAACGAGGACGACAAACATGAAAATATGGTCATCAATACTGCGGACGCTGTTATAAAACTGTAGCAAACACTTAAAGGCCGAAAACTTGGTACGTGCTACACTAGTACAAACACGAATTCGAATAATAAAATGTTCTTAAACTCGACGCGGGAAATAAAAACCAATGCAGATTCACCTAGTTATCCTCTTACACAGTTCCACTGAGATTACATTTGTAGTTTACACGTTTTAGGCATTATGTGCATCTGTCATCACGTTCTAAAATCTTCTAGAACGTGAAAATGAGGTTCACAAGAAATTGCGCGACGCTTTCTTTTCTATTGCAACAGTATGCAGAGCTTGCAATTGAAACTGCGCGTTTGTTCGTCCGTAACCTATTTAAGAATCAGAAACGAGAGAGACTTGTGTTGGCATGCGTCGTTTTGAATGCCAAAGTTCTCCGTTAGGTAACACCAGGCCATTTTGTATCCCGAACATTTGACGGCTAGTGTTTGATAATGAAACAAATCTTGTTTCAGTTACTAAACTATTTTAAACTTTAGTAAAAAATAAACTTAATATGTATACAATTCATTTAATATTACAAATTCATAACTTTCATATTTTCATCTCTCCGGTTTCGATGTATTTACTTTATTTAGGATCGTTTGTTTCTAATTCAGAAGTAATTAAGAGTTAATTAGCGATTATGATGTGTTTATGTGGTTTTCCTAATTTATATTTCAATGGGAATTTATAAAAGTTAAGTATTTGTTCATTTTGAAAATTTGAAAAAGTTTTATCATTAAAAGTAATTGAAAATCCTGTTTTAATTACATTTGTATAAAGTTGTAGACGTACATTATAAAAGTCACACATACAGTGTGACTTTTATAATGTAAGTAGCGGTTTCATACTTTTTCATGAATATATTTAACCCTTCCAATTGCCCTTTTCGTCCTTCCTATCAGAGTCCAATCTTTAACCCTCATTATTACTAATATTAAATAAGATTTCCTTTCTTTCTCTACAACCTCATGAGATAAGGGTTTGTCTACGTTGCCGGCGTAGGTATTGCCAAATATATTGTGCTTACAACTAAGAACTACATACTTTGAATAGATAATTCTACTTCATACCTTTAGTATACACATCACATCAACAGCCATTAACAGTCCACTGCTGGACAGAAGCCTCTCCTTAGAAAGGAGGTTTTGGTTGGTTGGTATATGGTCTGTGTCAAGGTTTCCTTCTCTCTGCAGTACTGTTGTGCTACGTAACTTTTTCCCTTAGTCAGCTATATTTTACGGGTTATATTAATAACAAAAATTGGAATCTGAATCCAAATTATTCAAATTAAAACCGTATTTCTTTCTATTTGTAGTTGATAAAAGATTGTCTCAAGGTATGTAGTAAAATTTAAACTTTAGTGTAACTTTGATGATAAATGTTTCTAAGTGTAAGTACTGTTTAGACATTCTTTATGGCGATACAAAGTCAGCTTCGTTACGACATAACGTGTACGTCCTTAATTGCACTCTCTTAGACATTTGATCATTAGCGAGATACAAGACGCGTTCCTTTAATGTTCATAATTTTCATTATATTTTCTTATTTTTTAAGAAATGTGCTACTCCATTACAATTATGGTTCAATAAGTAGCAATCAGTTTGTGAAAAGAACCGGTTCAACAAAGTCCCGCTTGTATTTTTTTAAACAGAACTTATAAACTCAAACTCGCTTTATTTCATTTTTTTTAAAGTGTTTGACATCGTCTTTTATGTAGACTCTAAAGTCATAGATCAACACACACAAAAGCGAAAATCTCTGTTTTGTCAAATAGTAAGCAAATCTATATATATAAAAGAAAGTCGTGTTAGTTACACTATTTATAACTCAAGAACGGCTTTACCGATATGGCTGAAAATTGGTGGGGAGGTAGCTTAGAGCCAGGAGACGGACATAGGATACTATTTATTCCGTTCGACAGTGTTTTTTTTTTTTTGTTTTTTTACGAACTTTGCTTTACTCGGAGATGCCACGTTTTTATACTTGGAATGCTTCGAATTTTCAAAGACGGAAGCAAGGCGATGCGGTTCCTGGGTATCCGGATGTGCGTTCTACTGATGCTCTTGGTCGTATGTATACAGTTCATCCAAAGAATGATGAATGTTTCTATTTGCGGTTGTTGCTGGTAAATGTGCGTGGGCCAACGTCATTTGAGACACTAAAGAATGTTAATGGTGTCATATTCCCAACATATCGTACTGCATGTGAAGAACTGAACTTATTAGAAAACGATACCCATTGGGATACGACAATCGCTGAAGCCATTATCTCTGCATCTCCAAGTCAGATACGCACATTATTCGCTATCATAATTTCGACATGCTTTCCATCAAACCCATGTAACCTGTGGCACAAATATAAGGATAATATGTCAGAAGATATGTTACATCAAATTCGTATCACTTCCAGAAATCACGATGTTGAGATGAATGAGGAGATACATAATCGTGCTTTACTCTTGATCGAAGATATGTGTTACCTCGTGTGCGGTAGTTTAAATCGATAATTGGAACGGGAACGTGAATATGATCACCAGGAATTAGATTTAGTAGTTCAAACGAATGTACCCCTGTTGACTTTCCAACAAAAGGAAGTTTATGATACTTTAATGAAGGCAATCGATGATGGAAATGGTGGTTTATATTTCCTAGATGCCCCTGGTGGAACAGGTAAGACATTCCTCATGTCAGTAGTTTTAGGCACTGTTCGGGCGAGATCAAACATAGCGCTTGCAGTTGTTTCTTCTGGAAGAGCAGCCACATTGTTAGAAGGATGCCGTACGGCTCATTCAGCATTAAAATTACCGTTAAATCTTCAAACTATTAAAGAACCAACGTGTAATATTACGAAAAATTCAACAATGGCCAAAGTTTTATCGGCATCGAAAATCATCATCTGGGACGAATGCACAATGGCGTATAAACGTGCATTAGAAGCACTTAAAAGAACATTGAAAGATTTACGGAATGACTCGAGATGTTTTGGAGGAGCAATGATTTTACCGTCTGGCGATTTCCGCATAACACTGCCAGTAATTCGAAGATCTGCAACTGCCGACTAAATAAACGCTTTCCTCAAATCGTCGAATCTATGGCGCTATGTGAAGAAACTGCAGCTGACAAGAAACATGAGAGTTGCATTGCTTAATGATACATCTGCTGAAGATTTCTCTGAGCAATTGCTGACTATCGGTAATGGTCAAGTACCTGTCGATGAATCGAGCGGATTGATATCATTTCCAAATAATTTCTGTAATTTTGTCTCATCAAAAGACGAACTTAACAACAATGTATTTCCAGACATTATTTCTAACTACAAAAATAATGAATGGTTGAGTGAGCGAGCAATTTTAGCGGCTAAGAATAAAGATGTAGACGACCTGAACTATATAATTCAAAATAAGATCATTGGGACAATGCATTCATTCAAATCTATTGACTGCGTCACAAATGAAGATGAAGCCACCAACTATACAATTGAATTTTTAAACTCCTTGGATGTGCCTGGCTTACCACCGCACAATTTACGCCTAAAGGTTGGCTCCGTAGTAATCATGCTTCGAAAGATAAACCAACCAAAACTGTTCAACGGTACGCGTTTGATGGTTAGAAAATTGATGAACAATGTAATTTACGCGACGATACTAAAAGGAAAATTCAAAGGTGAGGAAGTTCTCATTCCGAGGATCCCGATGATCCCAACCGATTTGCCGTTTGAATTTAAAAGACTTTAATTGCCGATCCGTCTTGCATTTGCCATGACCATCAACAAATCACAAGGCCAATTCTTAAAAGTTTGTGGTTTGAATCTAGAACATCCATGTTTTTCCCATGGTCAATTATATGTGGCATGTTCACGGGTCGGAAGACCATTTGCGTTGTTTGTTTTTGCGCCTGATAAGAAAACAAAAAATGTCGTGTATCACCTTAAGTACTTTACTTAAGTGAAGAGCAACCTATGTACTGAAATGCAGAAACAATAATAAATGATTAATGTACTTCATTTTCTTTTCTAAGAAAAAAATGAACTTACTAAATTCGAAAATCGGCTTATTTATTGCCTTTAAGGCGGAACAGAGTTCGCCGGGTCAGCTAGTAAATTTAATAAAAATTAAACTTATACAAAATCTTTGATATGCCTGTGCCGATCTACAACCAATCCAATGGGTTGAGCCTTATGAGAATAAAGGGCAAACAAACGCATGGCCACTATTTTGCAATTCACAGATAAATACAATGGCATCATTAAATATACCATAACATTGTTTTGATGCCGGTATGTCCGTTATTAAGGACTAAAAGGTAAAAAGACAATGAAGAGAAAGCAAGATTAAGATAAAATCGAACAAAAGATAAAATTAAGTGAAACATAAAAAATACAAAAAAAATATATTATAAAAAACTCACTAGCCCACACCACATTTTTACTTAAGAAATAGCCTGCCCTAATTAATCCCAAGCATTTTTGTCTTCTATGTAATCCACAGTTGAGTAGTAGGCCCTCTGGCATAAACGTTTTATTGCGGATTTAAATTTGTTAATACTTAAGTCTTGATATATATAATAACTACAAGTTTGGATTTGTCTTTTTCCGTTAGATTATGAGCGTCAAAGTAGAAATTCTCAATTTGACTGAATATTTCTTTCGTATTTTATACAATAGATTGACCATGTGTAAATAACGTTTAATGAGTAAAATTTAACTGACTCGGTTTGGTTTTCAAATAGATATATTTAGTAGACATATTTATTCAGAAGTCTAGTTATATACATACAAAATAATTAAAAAAGAAGAAAAAACTGACGAACCTAAAACCTCCGACTCACACCTGTAAAAATCCTGCGGTCGTTTAGCCTCAAAAGAGTAATATTATACACACATGTGAACAGCTAATAACCATCTACCTGCATCCTGGTATGCCCCTTTATACGCCCCTTTATGAAAGGGTCGCTGAAGGGACATTAAAATATTTTATAAACATCGATTACGTGAGCGACTTTCTGAAATTTTGTAGAGGTTTGTGGCCATACAAGGCTTTTTAAGGTTTGCCCTTTGAACAAGCCTTTTTGATAATTATTTAACCGGCCTTATTTTGTTGGTATTTTCTCTACCCTTCTGTAATGTAAATAATACATGTTTTAAAATTTCTAAAGCAACCCCTAAAAGCGTTAACATTAAAATATTCATATATAAAGAAATGTATACAAATTTGATAGTTATGAATAGTTATTCACGATCACAGTAATTTAGTTTATTATAATAATGTTCTAAAATAAACTTACTTTGAATTCTATTTTCTAGATTTCGAATAAAGAAACACTTACTGTAGGTACAATGTCCTTTGGAATACCGACATTGACTTTTACACCCAGCAACATATAACACCAAGAATTTATTATTTAATTTGTTAGTAAATATTCATAAACATTCCAACCAAATGTAGGGCGGTTCCACTTTTGCGGCAAAACTATAACAGGTATGAAGACTTGTTTGTTTTTAATCTTAGACCTTAATTTTCCTTTTCTCTAACCAGTTTTCCTTTCAAATTGAACTCCCAATTTTTTCATCTGAGTGCTTGGTTGACTGCGGTAGTCTTGTTCTCTACAACATGAACGGTATTAAAATTAAATTCGGAAAAATATAGGGGTATAATATACTTCTGCTGAACGTGAGCCCGCTCTTTTACTGTTTCTAACCGATTTCAAAAATCGATTCTACATAATATTGTTTGAGTGTACCTTCGATCTATTCCTCAACTTTCTTTTTTTTTTACAAAAAGACTACTCCCTTCTATATCTCCCGTGATGCCACTTACAACAAAAAAACACCCACTGAGTTCAATTACTCTTATTGTAGGGGCAGACTGGTCCCATTTTTGTTTAAGGAAATTTATTCATCTTAATTATAGATAGTACATTAAGAGACGAAGAATATAAATAATTACATTTTATTAATAGAGAATAATTAGATTTGGGTATCATCACAATTCCGACAGTGATCCAGTATTTCTTGCAAAGTAAAATATTGTAATGAAATGAAATGAAATCATGATATTTATTTCTGTAAGAAATTTTTACAGATATTTTTAAAAGTCGTAATTTACAGCTGGAAGGCGCCGGTGTTTCCTAAGACTCGCTCTGGGAAGAAACGATCAGGTCTACAATGTAGAATATCACTGCTTGTTTTTGTGTCATTATTGATAGAAAACAAACAATCTGCTAAATAAAAATTGTGCGTTAAAACAGTAGTGTGGCGACTCCCACATAAACATACTACAGCGCCATCTAATGAAGCCACACCGAACTACGGAGTAACTTCTAAAATAAGAATTGCTAATCCTGTATCGCGATATAAAGAATTCTCTCGCAGATTAGCATATATACAACTTTCCAACATCAACCGTTGGGCCGCGGCCCGCCAGGCATGATCACCTCGCCTGGTCGGAGGATCCTCCCTTTGTGTTGGAGGGACATGACACCCGTTCCTCCACAGTAGTATTAATATTACATATTATTATGTTGATGTTATTTTTAATCATAAAAGAAGTAAAATATTGATTAAAAGTTCAACCACTAACCTGATAGTGTGTGTGTATGTAATCTCTCCTTGTAGTGACTGATTAAGAATACGGAGTGTCACCACCCCTATTCATCCCGTGGGTGTCATAAGAGCTGAATACACGAGCAAACTACGTAGGACAACAGCGCTGTAAAGAAAAGGAAAACTTAACACGAACCCTATAGGAACCCGTCAGCGTGGTGTGGACTATTAAAGGCTGTAGATGAGATGAACCTGAAAGTTACGAATCAAAAATAAAATAACTCATTTAGGTGGTCACATTCCTAACACATACGATTTCTCACACTTGTATATTTTAAAGTCAATACATTCCTGTATCCCAAAAAAATCTGTGTCCGTGTATGTCTTTTAAAAGAAAAGAAAAAAGAATCCTTCGTACATTCGTTAATTCTTTGGTCAATATTTCGCCCACACCCCAATATTTTGACTGCTCATCGTAAACCACATTGAGTGTGCCATCTTTGAACAAACTTGTTTAACTTATTTGTCCGCTCGTAAGCGGAATACTAATTTTTAGTCGTGAGGGTTACCAGAGAGGTATTCTGAATACCAATGACGCAAAATCGGCCAAGACCGTGCTTGAATGTGGCTATAAAGGTATATTGAAAGACATGATGTATTCCGGGGCAACTGAGAGTGATTTTGAGGTTGCTTTTCAAATGTCTATAGGATTTGAAAATTACACTTTCAATGTACCTTTTTTTATGAATGATATGAGTTGTGCCGTCAATAATTTTAAAAAAGTAGACAAGGCTAAACCTTTTTAAGAAACCAATTTCATAAAAACTGACTTGATTTGACAAGCAAATGTACGCATCAAGTAAGGATGCAAGTAGCTTGCGCATGTTGATAGTCCCGCATAGTCCCGAGTCCAGCGATTCGAGCATGTACCAGTGCGAGCCACCCGTACGGGTTACTTGCGCGCACATTCCCAAGGAGATTTAACATCAGGCAGGCAGCTGGCCATTAAAGAATAAAGCCAAAATATTTGGCAATGAAATAAAGGACTGCGAGAAGAGGATTGCGAGTGACAAAGGAGAATGGAAGAAGAAAATTCAAATAAATTATGGAAAATTAGAAATTTGTTCTCATGCGAAAACAGCAACAGGCAATAGGAACACTAAGGCTAAGGGTGAAGAGTGTCCTATGTCCAGCAGTGGACTAGTAAAGGCTGTTGATGATGATGATGATGAAGGGTGAAGAGGTATCTTGGAAGATAACCGTCTAAAACTACACGGTGGTTTGTCACACTGGAGACTATTGCAAAGGACTCTTTAGTCTTTAGCCGTCTTGTTAATATTAAGCAGCCCCTTCTTTGTACAGCAGAGTGCCTTACCCCCTCTTATTATAGTTTAAAGTTCACAAATGTAACAAAGCATTATTTTCTGTAAATACGGCTAACATCAACATTATTTGACGACTGGATGGCGTAGTGATTTGTGTAACGGACTGCTATTCCAAAGGTCGCGGGTTCGATTCCCG